TTTGCCACCTGATGTCAAGTGGCCGCCCAGCACTTCTCTCGTTTGCCCAGGCTGCCGCCTTGGCCGTGTGTCAGTGTCTGGCCGTGGAGGCCACTCACCCGTCCAGCCCGGGCTTTGAGGACTGCGGCGCCAGCGAGGCCGCGACGCCCATGCCCGTGCGGCACGTCCGCCCCGTCAGAGCGAAGAAGCACAGGCAGCCGCCCGCGCCCGCCGCGCCCGTCGTGGTCCAGCTCATGGAAATGGGCTTTCCCAGGAGGAACATCGAGTTCGCGCTCAAGTCGCTCACGGGCACCGCCGGGAATGCTGCGGGCTCGCCGGGTATCGCGGTTTCCTTGTGTCTCCCGTGATGCCCCCCACCCCGTTTACTCATGGGGTCCCTCGAAAGGCCGCCGTCGGGGGCAGTGGGCACGGTGGGTCCTCACTGGCTGTGCCCTGTGTGCTCATTCGTAGGCGTGGAGGCCCTGGTGGGGTGGCTGCTGGACCACGCCGACGTGCAGGTCACGGACCTCTCTGACGCAGACACGGGGTCGGAGGAGTGTTCCGACGAGGAGGGCGTGGACGACGTGGACGACATGGCCTATGCCGTGGTCAGTGCTGCCCGCGCCCGCCTGTCTTGCGCCCGGGGCTCCTCCGGCCGCCCGGGGCTCTCTGTACCCTGCTGCGCTTTCTGTGCTTGAGCTGCCTCTGTAGAACCCTGTGTCCCAACATCGAATGGCGTGGGGTCACCACTAGAAAGTGCTCCGTTAAAAAGTCATGTTTTATGGGACACGCTGACTTCTGAGCTGAGTCAGCTGTGCTTTGGGATTAATTGGGAAACTCCTCAGAAGTTTTCTTTTCTGTACTTCGAGCTTCTGAGCTTCATCCGCCTCTCTGTGCTGTTGCTACTAATCTTTTTTGTATGAAGAATTTTATAGGAAGAGATGGTATAGTATTTCATACTTTATTTCTTAATATTATAGATTTTACATTACTTTCGAAGTAGATTTATTTGGCTCACCATTTAAAAAAATGGATTTACTCCCTTGCAGTCTGCTGGCGCTGTCGTAACAGAGAGCCAGACTTACAAGAGACGAGCCGACTTCCTGAGTAACGACGATTACGCCGTGTACGTGCGCGAGAACGTCCAGGTGAGTGGCTGTCGCCGGCTGCAGCGCGGGGAGCGGGCTGAGGGCAGAGCCAGAGAGCGGGCGGTGGCTTGGCCACAGCGACGTGGCTCAGACATGTGCTTCTCGAGCATCCCCATTTTAGACACTTAAAAATCTCTCTTTGCTCGTTTTTCTTACATCGTTCTTATTGCCGTCTAACTTATAAAATCTATTTCTGCTTTTCCTGTGGTCCTTTATTCACTTTAAATTCTCTCTTTGTGTCTCTTGTCTTGTTCTAGTTAGTATACTCCAGAGAAAATCCCAGAAGTCTTCTCATTTCACCTGTAAACGTGTTAGTGCGCATCCCTGACAAATGATTTTATTTTTAACGTCGTGATGTTACTGTTACCTCATATTACTTAACAAAATGAACAGTAATTCCTAATATCACGTTATGTCCAATGGTCAAATTATATCCAATTGCTCAGATTCCCCCAATTTTCACAAAAATGGCTTTTTATAGGCGTTTTCAAAAATTCGGATCTAGTCAAGGTCGTACACCTTGCACCAGGCGCTGTGCACTGGAGGGTCTTGTAACCAGGAGCCATTTCCCCTCCTTTGTTTCCTTTTCCTGCCATTCATTGCTGAAGCTGTTGGGCCAGTGTCCCGTCCTCTGCGTGTCACGTGGAGTCGGAGGGAGGGCTGGGGGCGGCCGCACGTGGGCGGGAAGGCACGTGGACCGGCACGCCGGGTTGGGGTTTGTCAGCCTGCGCCATCTGCTCACAAGCTCTCTGCCATCGTTTGTCTCGGCACTTCAGTCGCCTTAGTGCCATTGCCTGGACCCAGCGTGACTTTGTCATCCCGATTTGTTAGCTGGAGTTCTGCTCTTTGAAGAAAACTTTCTCGTCAACTCTGGCTGCTCTTCGTAGTCCAGTTTATGCAGGAAAAGGCAGGATAAGCGCTTGTTTTTGCGTGTGTTGTTTTTGCTTTATCAGTTTTCAGAATGGCGAATCGGTGCCCTGGTGTTTGTAAAGGTGACCCAGACGCTTGTTTTGTTTACCACCTTTATAATGAATTTATTGATCGTGACAAGTTCGATGTATTTCAGTCACTGTCCCTCTCGATCCAGCTGTTCTTTCGAGTGATCCCGTCGGTCTGTGACAGCTTGCTGTGTGGCAGCAGTTGATCCGGATTCGCCTGGGACAGTTCTGCCTCAGCCAGCGTCCTAGGGAGCCCTGCCTCCACTTAGTATAAAGTGCTTTTGAGAGCGTGCTCTGGGTGCTCGAGGAGATCCTTTTTTGGAGTAGACAGTGCTACGTACAGTTGTTGATTTCACCTACATTGTCACCTGGGCTCACGTTTAGTTCACTTTTAATTCGAGGTGGGAATGATGGTGAGATGCTGTCGAACGTACGAGGAGGTGTCGGAAGGAGACGTGGGGAAAGTGATCAAGCTGGACAGAGATGGGTTACACGACCTCAACGTGCAGTGCGATTGGCAGCAGAAAGGAGGCACTTACTGGGTCAGGTATATTCACGTGGAACTTATAGGTGAGCACGGGCTTCGCAACGTCCTTCCGCTTTCTCTTAACTAGGGACAGAGTTCCCAGGAGGGAATGCTAAGTGTAATTCGTTTATTGTTGGGATCTTTAGGCTATCCTCCACCAAGTTCTCCTTCTCACATCAAGATTGGTGATAAAGTCCGTGTCAAAGCCTCCGTCACCACCCCAAAATACAAGTGGGGATCCGTGACCCATCAAAGCGTGGGGGTTGTGAAAGGTAATCTTATCTGGCAACTCCAGATGCTCGCTTTTCGACAACTGATGTAAACTCAGTGTTTTATCACTCAAGAGCAAGAAAAACAAGTGTGAAGAAAGCCTCGTGGTGAATAAATCGTGTCCTTTAGCTTGTCAGTGCTCTAGATGGGAACACACCTGTAGCTGAAGAGTCAGGTTTATTAACTCATTGCAACTTGGGAGGACGTAAACCCTGGAAAATGAGATAGCTCCATGAGTGGGTGTCACAGAGGATTGATGGGGTTTATGTTAGACAGTTCGGGGAGGGGTCAACGAAGCACGGTCATTTTATGAAGGGGCGTCTTAATAAATATCTGGAAGGCAGAAAGAACGGAGCCAGGAGGAAGTTATGATCGGTAAGGAAACAGGTGTTCACATTGGCCAGGAGGGGGCGTCTGGTTGTGTTTGTTATTTGGATTGATTCGAACTTGATCAGATGCCCCCAGGGGTGGCTTTGTTTTTGTCTTGATCCATCATTCACAGGGTGGCCTTGTCTGAGGTCGGCATTCTGTCGACTTGCTCCGTCAAGCATTCTGCCACATGCCCGTATGGCTCTGGCCCGTTCCCTCAGTCATGGCTGTTTTTCTCTCTTTTTTTTTTTAATGCTGTGTAAAAATTTAGGACTAAATTTAAGAAATTCAAATGTGCAAATGACGAGTTAGAAACTGAAAACACAAAATTCTCAGTTTATATTTAATGTGATATCATTGAGATTTCAGATCAAACGAATTTCGGATCATACTTTTAAAGATGTAGTATGTCCATTCTCACAGTTGCATGAGAAATAAACCCGTGTGCATGCAGCTTAGTCGTGTCTTTAGACCCTTTCAGCGTCATAGGGAGACTCCTGTAGCACAGGCGGATGAGCAGCGGGGACACGGTCGCGCTTCCGGGCGGCCGGGCTTCCTCAGGTTATTTAGCGTTTCTCGACCTAAGAGATTCTTAAAAACTTTACAAATCAAATGAGGCGTAAGTTTTAAAAGGAAGAACGTGGTTTAGGGGTGAACGTTTTGGGTAGCCGAGCGCCCTCGCCAAAGGGCGCGCGGTGTTTTCTCATCATTAATGTGATTCGTGCTCCCTGAGATAACGGAAGTAGCTTTGGATATGGCGTAAACTGCTTTTTGAAGCAAACCTTCTTACTGTGGGAAAAGCAATTTAAAACCAATCTCACTGTGGAAAATTTCAAACATACAACGGTAGAGACTAGAGTGTAATGAGCCTCCATGGACCCGTCACCTGCTTCAGCAGCTGTCACCCCTGGCCAGGCCGTCTCAGCCGTGGCCCGTCCCCACATTGTTTTGAAGCTGAGCCCTGACTGGCATCACGTGCTAGTTCGGCTCCGAGCGTCGCAGTACGTCTCTGAAAGAGAAGCACCCCTTGTAGAAAACTAGTCTCTGTGACGTCATAGCACCCATGGCTGGGTGCAGTTTCGATCTTAATTTCAGGTTTTGATTGGTGGCAGAGATGTTTCAGGCACTTTCTGTTCTGTGCTAGCGTTCAGCGCCAACGGCAAAGACGTCATCGTCGACTTCCCGCAGCAGTCCCACTGGACCGGGCTGCTGTCGGAGATGGAGCTGGTGCCGAGCGTTCACCCTGGGGTCACGTGAGTTTTTATTCCCATGTCGCAAGGTTTGTTTGGGGAGCACGGTTTTCTTTGGAATGAAGTTCGGGAACTAGACACATCTTCTTAGCAACTCCACGGCTGTTTTAAACGTAGGTGCGATGGCTGTCAGATGTTTCCTATCAACGGATCTAGATTCAAATGCCGAAACTGTGATGACTTCGACTTTTGTGAGACGTGTTTCAAGACCAGAAAACACAACACCAGGCATACATTTGGCAGAATAAATGAGCCAGGTACGGTAGGGTGGCAGCGTTCTCAATGAGGTCATTACCGTGGACGTGACAGTATCAGGAAGTCCTGTCTTTACAATTGGCCGTCTCTTGTATCTTTATCGTTTCTTCCTTTTTCCTGTGGAATTTGGGTTTAGGTTTTTTTTTTTTTTTT